GTTGGCCCAGAACGGTATTTGGGCAGAGATGGGGCTCCTCCTATTCTTCAGAGCAGGCAGAGAGGCTATAGACCCCCCTTATCCTAGGGACTCGAGTCTTCGGCTCAAAAAGCGCTGTTGGGTTTTTGGTATTGATACGCTTGGTGATGATGAGGGGCAAGAGGCACCTCAAGAAGGCCTGCCACCAGAGTTGTACGAGGTAGTTGCACAGGAGTATGCGAGGTGCTTCCCAAGTGCACCGTAGATTGTGGAAGAGCAGGGCCAGAATGCGCTCAGGGTGCTAAGGGTGCGTCAACACTTAGGGACAAGCTTTGTGCTTAGAACGTCAATAGTATCAATGGCCAACTGGAACGCTGCTGTGCTGCTCGCAATCAAGACAAAGACCTCCCCTGCTGATGCAAATGGCTGTTGCCTGTGGAGAGGAGATGGGTCGGGCAGAGTGGAAGTCACAATCGACCAAGAGAGCCGAAGCTTCAACGTGCATCGCTTTCTTTGGGATCTGGAGCATCCTGACAATGTGCTCGATACTATGCATCATTGTCGGCGCAGTTGTGGCAAGAAATCATGTGTGAATGTTGAGCACCTTCAGAAGGTGAAATCGCATGTATGCACAGAGTGCAGTGCGGTTTTTCTCGGGCAGACCACTTGCGAACCCATCAGAGGAGGCACACTGGCGAACGGCCATATGCATGCACAGAGTGCGACGCAACATTCAATCAGTCAGCTCATCTGCGGATCCACCAGCGGACGCACAGTGGCGAGCGCCCGTATGCTTGTACCAACTGCGACGCCACTTTCGCTCAAATAGGCAACTTGCAAATCCACCAGCGGATGCACACTGGCGAGCGCCCGCACGCCTGCACCGACTGTGATGCAAAATTCGCTGAGGCAGGCACTCTGCACAGGCATCAGCGGACGCACACAGGCGAGCGCCCGTATGCCTGCTTCGACTGTGATGCAAAATTCACCCAGGCGGGCGATCTGCAGAGACACCAGCGGACGCACAGTGGCGAGCGCCCGTACGCCTGCACTGAGTGCGATGCCACCTTTGCTGTAGCCGGCACTTTGCAATCTCACCAGCGGACGCACACCCGTACGCCTGCACCGTGTGCGATGCAACTTTCTCCCAGGCACAACACTTGCAGGTGCATCAGCGGACACACACAGGCGAGCGCCCGTATGCCTGCACCGAGTGCAAGGACGATTTTGCACAGAGCACCCACCTACGTACACATACATATTACTATCACACCACCGAGGGCAAGCAGAAGCGCAAGCGCGAGGAGGTACGGATCGCGAAGCTCCTCGAGGGGTCCAGCATCGACTTCAAGCGGGAGCATTATGTCAACTTTGGCTGTCTGCAAGGCACGTTCGCTCGCGCGGACTTTGTCATCATCCAGAATGGCAAGGTTGTCGTGCTGGAGGTCGACGAGTACCAGCACGAATCCTATGGGGTGGCATGCGACGTTGCTCGGATGGCCAAGATCTATGAGGCCTGGCTGCTCGAAGGGAATGGTCTGCCGGTGCGATTCCTTCGCTACAACCCAAACGCGTACCACGTGGATGGCAAGAAGCAGAAAGTCAAGAGGGCCGCCCGGGAGGAACGCCTTCTCGAAGCCATTCGAGAGGCATCAGAAGCGGACGGGGACGGCATGCAAGTGCGCTATATGTACTATGACGTGGTCTCCGGCAAGCCTGCAATCATGCAGGATCCAGCATTCACCATCAGTGACTGCTGTGTAGAGGCAATATACTAGCCTTCCGTGGGTCAAGGAGCCAAGGGCGGTGCGCTTGCCTCCTGCGTACTTAGGAGTTTGCAAATGTTGAGAAAGGCCAGTAGCAACATGCAGGGGAGAGAGGACCTACTGCTCGTGTCGTTGAGGAGCTTCTATGATGTCCCGAACAACGCGGCCATTCTGCTCAACATTTTACAGCAGAAGAAGGGTTTGCCGTCCCTTCGGATCCTCGATTGGCTCATAACGAACTTCAGCAGGACGAAGATGGTATTCCATTCGGCGACTGATGCCAAGGGCAACCGCAGGCAGATGTCTATATCCACAAATTACCGCCTGCAACTGAGGGCGTACTCAAAGAGACGGTTCGATCCGTTCTGCCGGCGAGAGCGCATCCTGTTCCCTATTATCGATCCTCGAGCAGAGGTTTCCGCTCCAGCGAGCAGGATGCCGCCGCAAGATGTGTCCATGCCCAAAGAAGCTTGTCTGAAGGATGTGCGGGCGGAAGATGCGGACAGGGTGCACGAGCTTGTCACGA